TGTGACAAAAACTGCTCGTTTCCTCTTAATAACTTTTTTCTTTAAACAGAATCACATATTAATGTGAAAAAAATAGATATTAAAATATTTTTTCATTTTGATAACATAAGACTTTATTTGATTATTTTAATTTGACTCAATTTTTATTTCCTCGGAGAATACCTGAATTATCGCTTGATATGAGTTTCAATGTGAGACCCAGGGATGGGATGGGAATGGAATTCAACACTTAAAAATGATATACTGAATCCATTCTTGATATCGTTCCCATGTATTATGTTATACTTTGTAAGGAACATTTCAAACTGCAACGATCCAATGCCGGTTTAAAACCCTAATTAAGATATCTATATATTCGTATTTTCCAAGAAACACGATATATGACAGTGACTCATTATGAAAATATTTGTGCTGTTAGCGTGAAAGAGGAACTGTGCGACGAGTAAGCTATTTTTCGTTTCATCCTGTTTTTGTCACTGCGTTTCAATAAATGAATACCACTGGGATTAGCAAGTACGACATATTTTGGTACTGTTTACGTGATATATATTGCAGCGCGTAATTTTCAATCGAAAAATGCTATCGACGAATAGTTTATACGCCGTTAAGTAATAATAGCGCGTTTGACGTATTCGCGTGACGTCATCGACGTTGAATATTAATAACGCGTTACGAATGTTATCTCATTCCGTTTGTCAAAGAGGTTCTTGGCGCTTTTAAAAAAAGTTCTCGGTTTGTCGCATTGTAACACCACTGCATGATTTTCTCTCCACGTTTCAGAAAGAGCTTTAAATTTTCGGAAATATTTTAAAGATTCAGGAATTTTATATTCTTAAATAAATATCTCCGTTTTTCTCTTTTTGCATAAACCGTATAACGCAGCACCTTTTATTTCTAATTTTTTTAATATTTTAATTTATTTAAAAATCTTGAATTATTTATCAAAAATTAAATCATTAATACAATCCTTGGATTATTCAGCAGCAAATGTATCCCTTAAGAAATGACATTTTTTTATTAATCAAATAATTTTTTACATTGAATTTTCTCACATTGTTTCTGTTTTTCCTTCATTTTGTTTATTCTTTCTTTTTTTTCCTTGAATATAGATAATCTCTTTGGAGGGTCGTTCCTTCTATCTTCTTTTTTCTCATTTTTTCCAGTTGTCTATCGTTGAAGATAAGTCCCCTTTTCAAATCGGAATAATCCAAAGATCAAATTTTAAGCATCCTATTTTATCGATGAAGGGACCATTGTAAACTAAGAAACTTATATATTTTTCAATTTTGTTTTGTCTGATTAAAAGTCATCAAGATCTCTCATGACATGTATGCGGTTCGCCAGTTTTCCTGCGCGCGCTTCCTGTTCACAAACGTAAAAAGAAAAAAAAAATTGGAGCGTAAAAAATTAAATTATTCACGCGTACGTAGCTAAACCGAAACGTTTCAGTTCGAACGCTGTTATTAACTGCATCGAACATTGGTCACCGTATGTCACGTAGGTATTATATTGCTGTGCATAGTACACAGAAGTAATGACTGTAACAACACCGTGCATTCGCTATTACGTAACATCGTGACGATCCTGTTTCATGCGACGTTCGAAGCGTTCGTTGAATTCTATCTGCCTCCACTTACTTCGATTATATACCATTGTAAATCGTATTCTTGTCGCATTAGGCACGGCGCGCTCAACTGCAAGGCTGAGTAACTCGAAGCTGTTATCTAAAGTATTAGGTCGTTGCATATAAGATGTGGGATTTCAAAAGTTTTACGATACACTCACGCAAATGTCTCGCGATAACCAGGTATTGCGTGCTACAGATATGATTCTTTTGCAAAATAAATCCTTTGTTTTATTTTTTCACAAAAAATCTTCGCGAGAAAAGCGAGAGTTAAAATCTTCAAGTTATAATTTCGCGGAAAAAGTCAGGGAATTAGTATAATATTTTTTTATGCTTTTAAAGTGGGATACGACTTACATACGTGAGAAAAATTTTTTTTTAAATGCCGAAAGAATCTTAAATCAAAATAGATCAAATTTTTGAAATTTCTCGATTTTAAAGGCGCGCACGTGTTCAAAATCACGCACGCGAGCTCAAAGTGCGTACGTGAATGTTCGAACGTACGCGTTTTTCTCTAGCGAAGGTAGAGAGAAAGATGGAAAAGGAGAGAGAGTTTCTTAAAATATATGCCAGAACTACTGGATATTCTTTCAACACGTTTCCTACCATGTATATAGCCGGCGGCACAGCGAACGTTAACCGTAGTTTCTTCGTTCAATTTAGAGACAATATTTTCGTGACAAAAGTCACAGATGGTATCCATTCAATGCCTTTCTATATTGCAGAAACGAACTCATTGTGTCGCGCCGTCAGAGAATGTATCGTTATACGATAACCCTAACGAAATATCGGAGCCTAAAGGCAATCTTATCTAAAGACGCGGACTTTAATCGTCGTCGATAAATTAATGCAGAAAGGAAAATAAGAAATTTTTAAGCGCTAAGTTCCGTGATTGACGCCAACGACGTTTCAGCTTTTATCTAGACACGGAAAATCCGTCAAGATACACAAATCCGCCGGATGAACGATACAATCGGGAATTGTTGTTTAGTTTACTGCGCACAGTCATCGATAAGACGGATTATCAATTACAGCTCTGACAGGGTTATCAAACATCAGAGACGCCATAAGTTCATTGAAAAAAAAAACCGGCCGTCTCGTTCGGTATCTGTGGACAAAACCGGATTTTTTCGGACAAGAATCGCTCTCTCCAATCTTTCTCGCTAAAATAAAAGATTTAATTTATGAGTATTATAATACATAATTGGCAAAAAAGAAATAAAATATATAAAATTTGTTTTTCTGGGACAGAATTCGTGTATATATATAGACCTCGAGTGGTGCAAACCTGCGTCATTACAGCGCGACATGGAAAATATTATTTACTTTCTACCTGGATGCTTTCGTTCTGAACTAATGATTCGTTGGTTTTCTCGCAAGCATAATGCAAATATACACAACGTACCGTGCTCGCAATACAGAGCGTTATTCCTGTTAGAAAGGAAATTGTCATGAAAAAGATATCGGGAGATATAACTCAGGATAGATAAGGAAAGTATAACTGTCAGAGCTGAATGATTTACCAAACAATAACATACCGAGAAAGTTTAGTTCCTGTTCATTATAAAAAAAAGAGATTTTCACAAAAATTTATGAAACGTAGAGAACAAATATTAAAAAGAAATATTTTTCTTAAGAATTTTCTTAAGAAATATTTTTTATTAAGAATTAATTAATAAATAAAAGTTACATAAAAGTGATTAAGTTTACATAGAAATGGTCATTCGATTCTAGTTTTCCTTCCTACGAATAGTCTCATATTTATTACATTTATATGCAAAAGAAAATATTGCACTTTTATTATGTTTATTCTTCGTTTAATGCCTCTCCATAATTAAGTATACGATAACTATGTCAGAACTAAATTACATCAATAACCGGCAACTGAGCTTATCTTATCGATCGTGGCTTATCAATCCGTCATGGCTTATGTTTATTAACAACTCAGGGAAACACTAATAAAGCTCAATGTCTTAGTACGAAGTAATCTATTTCGCAGAATCACAGATAACGTAACGCATACGCTAAACTGCAGCATGTTGTAGATTTCTAATGACTGAATCACACGACGCTTGGTATGATGGCCAAAATTTAAAAGATTCTGAATTAAAAAAGCAGCTGAATGTGATATTTGTCATATTAATCGTAGTAATTTTATCATTTATTACCTAATATATGTTTACATTACGCGTATAATTTCTTACGCCGTTAAATATACGGACTAAAGGAGGAAAGATCAACGCAAATACAGAAAAAGAGAATCGTTAAGTTGACAAGAAATAACGCATACTGAAGAAAAAAAGAAATGACTTCTCTAAAAAAAGAAATTCATTCAGAATAAAATGGGTGAAAAAGGACAAGAGATTGCGTAGTAGCACGTAGCAGTATATTTTCGTCTCGTTAAGGAGAGACTTGGTGACGTCAGCGAGGGATTGAACGGGCGAGCCCCCGGGGTCGACCAATCGCGACCCGACTTTCGCTCCCACATGTTCAAATTCGCTGGAACATTGCGTCACCCTTTAAAAGTTCCATCTGGAGCAACGAATTTCATCATGATGATGCAATTAATTCTCCAGGAGAATTTCTCCGTTAATTAATTAATTACGATCAATATGTAGCTCTGCCATCTGATGGTACTAACTCGACTCATCCAATTTTTTTCACTCATACTATACAAGAATATAAATTAATCCAAACAGAATTTTACATAATTACCGTTGTAAAATTGCTATAATAAATTTTAGAGTGATTTGTATAGAGAAATAATGTTCAATTTTATTAATTTTTCTTCTAGCTGAACTAGATATTAAATCGTTTCCGCTAACTATAACATTTCATCGCGACCGACACATTCAATGATAAACTTATAGTTAATGTATAATGTTCAAACTCGTCAAAGTCATTTTCCACGGGAGAGATCTTATTGAGGCTTATAGCTCTAGGCGACTCGAAGAAATAGAAATATTGACATATGACGTACTTCGTATTTAAATAACCAATCAAAATATTGTTGAGTATATTAATTGGTCAATCAATTTAGCATGATAACTGCGGGAAATACCAGTCTTAGGAAATCTTTGATCCATTTGCCCTTGAGGACGAGCCTCCACCTTAACAGCGAATGCATGCGAGGGGAAAGTCACCCCTCTTTCTCCGCTGCCATTGCCACCCCCCACGCACACTTCCACCACTAACCGATTTGCCGCAGTGCCGACTCATTAGATTAGAAATTGGGCGATTTCCATTTCTGCGCGATATTTACCAAAAATCTTTTCATATGATTAAAATATAAATAAAAGAAATAATTTTGAATATATTATAATTTAATAAAATGTTAAGTTTTTCATTATTAAATTTTTTTATTTAATTTAATAAAAATAAATTATTTTAGTTTTACTTAAACTCAAATTTATTTAAGTTAAACCTTTATGCGTTAAATCCATACAACATATAATTATCTTCAGAAATTTTCAGAAATTCGTTTTCAGGACGTCTTTCAGATAAAGTGTGTTGTTTAGAAAGAGAATTATTTATTCAATTAAGTCAATTTAAAAAGTAACATTATCTCGATTTTAATAAAATGTTCGTATATAAACAGCTTTCTCCAATAAAATTTTAACTTCAAAAATATTTATTATGTGTACAAAAAATTCCGGTGTTCAACGAATGGAAGCACATGTAGATGTTTAAACACTTGGTCACATCATTAATCATATTAATCACACAAACTGTCATTCGTGTTTATAATATTTGTACAATCTGCCATTAAGTATTTAAAAAAGCAATGCAATGAAATAAAATGCAGTAATGTCTGAAGGTTACCGAAATTGAAAAGAAACAAGATATGATAAAATAAAAATCAAAGGTAATCAACTAGTAAGAATTCTATGCGCTTACACTTTGAGTGATATATTAAATCTTTCGAAATTCAATTTTTTTACACATAATGATCCAATATATAATAATAAAATATTGAATATTCCATTAAAGTTCATTGCAAAAAAAGAAATTATTTGAAGTAGCTGATAAAATCACGGGTGAATCGAGGAAACGGGTTCATCACTGGTATCACTGCCTCCTCCATGGCCTCCTTTTACCCCACTATGAACGCAAGTTCCATTCCCTCTACTAGAATCGCGCTTGTGGGGAACGGACGAACAGGCGCCGTCGTTCCAGCCAGTCGCGATACAAAGTTCAAAGAGACAGCTTGTAACTCGTATATTTATCAGGAAATTCCACTTCCTAGTTGAGCTAAGGCTAGCCTCTCTCGACGTCATCGACGACGTGGTCGAACACGTAGGGAAAAAAAAATCGCCGCGCGTTCGATTTACGTTTTTCCTCCTGTCGCTGGTCGTTCAAGTCAGCAACCACGAAGCTGCTCGAGGGCTGCACTAACGAGTGCGAGGTTGGGAGGGCCATGAAGACATCCACGTTATCGTGCAGTGACTTGATCAAGGAGGAGGTGAGCGAGTGGTCGAACAGTGAATGATTAGAAGGAGCTTAAAGGGCAAAATGTGTATCCGTTTCTCTGTGTATGTCTGTGTGTGTCTGACATCATGTACACTTTGGAGTAGAAGACGTTTGAGGTAAATTAGGATCAAGGTCGGTTAAGAAAAAATGAATATGAAAAAATTTTGATGAGTTTCATGATCGCAGTTGTTCCATCATTACAAATAATTAACGTAATATCTATTTTTTATTTGGTGTTCTTATAATTTCCATAAAGTTTAAACCAGATTGGTAATTAGAATTTTGTCATGTATTTCTTCGAGTTGCCTGCATTTGGGATGTATTGAGAGAAGATTAGGGTTGTCGAGGACAGGCTTGAAGGATTGACTATAAAATTGGAGCCAAGGTTAGAGAGCAAGGTCAGAAAGAACATTAAAAGGTGAGAAAAAGGAAAAAAAAGGAAAAGCGATGTTTATAGTTATGAAAAGTTCAAAATAATTTCTTGATTTGTCTATGCATCAAAATAGTAACAAGAAGCTCAAAAGACAAGATTAGAGGAATGGGTCATTGACCTAAATAATATAAGATGCAAAAAGTTAAACAATCTTGAGGGAAAAATTAAAGAAAATATAAGATACAGTAATGAGAATAAATAATACAATAATTCTCGATTTTGTTAAAAAATTAATATAATGTGTGGTAGCAAAATATTAGAAGTATTCAAATATTAAGTAAGAGAAATATTCGAAAGATCAGCGGTCGAAAATCTGGAAAAAATTGAATGGAAGAAATCTTTGTATGATCAATGATAAGTCGACTTTTTTAAATTCTGATTGCGCGGTTTATAAAGTGTTAGAAGCGATATTGGAAATATCAAAACGAGATAAGCGAATAGATTAAATATATTACAAACATATATAGATTTAAAAAAAAGAAAATATAAAGAATTAAAGCTAGATAGCAAAATAAAATTAATTCTAGACAAATTCAAACGATAATAAAAAATCGAACGATGATAGTGATAATGTGATTCTATAATTTTATTGTTAAAAGAGTGAGGTAATTATAAATTACTGTGTGAATAATGTCAATTGAACGACGCGATATTAAAAGAATGTAATTCACTTAAAAATTTTCCATTTTTCTAAATTTCTAATGAAATTATTGTACTTTATAATCTTCTATAAAAACAGAAATGAGTAAAAAAATAAAAATTAATTAAAAATTAAATTTTAAGAAAACGAAAGTTTATTAGCCGACTGTTACAATCATGCGCGCGAAGGGATGCTGCGTGATAGAATTGATCTCATGCAAGAAACGTACGTACGTCTCTCCTAAAGGTCGACAATGTCAACAGCGTAATAACGGAATCATTTAATCATATTCGCTGAGAATCGTTTCGAATGTTATACTGTAACGTTTGTGAGTAATAAGGAAATAGACAGATGATTTAGTGCTGCTGCCTACTACTGTTGTGGCAATAAAACGCAATAAGAGTTCTATTAATAGAAAGAATGAAGAAGATAATTTGATATTACACACAAATTATCTGACAAATGATCTAATTAAGATAAATATATAATTGTATATTAAATGAGAAAGTAATGCGTATAAAAGTAAAAATTAATTGACATACTGGTTGCTTTTACTTTTATTGGCACAACACGCGGTCCATTGCTGTTTATTTCCAAGGAAAAACTACAAGTAAAAAAATTACATAATGCGTATGTTATAAAGTGGAAAATAAGTGCTAGAATCAGGCTAGATAGGTTAGGGGATAAGGATGGAATGCAGTTAAGGGTTAATGTATAGCTGCGTGATAGTTAGTGGTGTCTGACGAGCTCGCAATCACATGGCAAGGCAGTTTCACAATACGCGGGTTCATTTGTTTTCTTCGTTTTCCGCGAGCAGCTTTGAAAGTAGTTGAATCATGCAATTAACTATGTAAACGACATTAACGTAAATGTGAATATAAATACCTATTATCGAGAGAAACCTCTGACCGTTGAGCGCAGGTGCATCGGACACCAATAAAATACGCGGTTGTATTTTATTCTTTAAAATGTCTAGAATGGTAAATATTTAATTTTAAGCAAATTATAATCAAATTATAACCAAATTTGATGGATGGATAATATGTAAGTTGTCTAATACATATGTTTCTTATTAATTTATAAATATATAAATTAATATGTATTTATAAATCAATAAAATATGTTAGATTTACTTATATATTATCTATTTATTATAAAATATATAAATATTTTTGTACATATTTATCACAAATTATCAAACACTATCATTAGTTTTACAACTGCAATTATAGATTCCATTTTTGTTCAAAATTTATGATACAAGTATCGTCTAATGAGCTTGATGAATAGATAAATTCGAAGATAAATTGATTAATGATAAAAGGGCACTATGAATCCAAATTTCCGATACGTTCTGTCACGTGCGTTATAACCCACGTACTTTTACATGCGGTGCCGTGGCATTGCATATTCTACTGTTATTCATTCATGATGGATTCTATTGGTCGGCGGGCGGGTGTGTCAATGACGTCACAAATCGATATTTCATTACGCTCTCGGTGGGAGAAAGAAACGTATCAAATTGGCGGGAAATATGATAGCATTCAAAACGTTTCGAGTATCCTTTTACCATTCAATTAAGTATTTTCAATTTTTACTAGATATCAGATACGTTGAATTATAATTAAATCGATATTATCAAATCGTAGCATCTGTTACTTTTCATCTTCATCTTCCTATTTATTTTTTTTAATGTATTCTTCAGAGCATATGCTTAAATGCATCCTTTCGTGTTTCCAGAATCTATTGACTATTATTATTACCTATTACATCAAAACTGTCTACTCAAGATCATCTTTTTTTACTTTTCTTTTTATCGCTTCAAGTGTTAAGACTTGGAATTTTTGAAAAACTTGGAATTTATATAAAGAAATGCCAAATTATTGGAAAAAATCTGAACGTATAGAAACGTAGAAAATGTTTCCTACTCAAAAATTGAAGAATCGTCATTTATCCTATGAAGGATTAATGCGCAGTTTAATATAATCGAAGAGAAGGAAGAGTCGACTTGAAATTTCGCCTAGAATTCATATAGGAACCACAATTCGGGTGGGTTGAACATCTCGCTGGTATTTTGATATCGAGGTCAGGAATCAATAGGGAAAGGATCGATCGTCTCTCTCGCGTCCGAAATCTTGGTGTTATATGCGCATCAGTAAGAGCGAGAATGTTATGCAATGCCCACGTTCAGCGGCCGCGTTGCGCGGCGCGCGTGGTGCCTAAGGACGATTCAAGGTTACCCAATAACACTGCCACGCGGATCGATAACGAGTCTCTCTCATCGTTTCGTTTCTCTGCCCGCAGATACGAGATGCCTGCAAAAATCTCGTCCTATCCGACGACCAGCTGCAATTGGTCATGCAAAAATTTACCGAAGAGGTCAACAAGGGTCTGTCGCGAGAAACTCACGACGATGCGATCGTCAAGTGCTTCACCACTTACGTGCAAGATCTGCCAAACGGCACCGGTAAATGAGAAAGATCGTGGCAACGGCCACAATATAAATAATACACTTTAATATAATCTTTACAGAGTCGCGAGAAAAATTGAATTCGAAGTAAAATATATGGAATTACAAAAAATATACAAAGATAAATTTAAAAGTCATTTAGTCTGATTGAGATAATTGGAAAATAGAAAAACTGTCGAAAAAACTAGCTACATTAAATATCGATAAAAATAAAATCAAAATTATTTAGATCTTGAAAGAACGTACAATTAATTCGGGACATAGAAAAAATTTTTTCATTGACAGTTGTGCCAAATTAACGGTTGCCAATCTTTCTTTTTAGAGAAAGGTTACTTCCTGGCGCTGGATCTGGGCGGTACAAATTTTCGAGTGTTGCTGATCACATTGGACGGTCAGAATTTTGATATGAAAAGCAAGATCTACGCGATACCCCAGAACCTGATGCTGGGAACCGGCACCCAGCTGTTCGATCACATCGCCCAGTGTTTGGCGCTGTTCGTAAAGGACCTGAACTTGCAGCATGAGGAACTGCCGTTAGGCTTCACGTTCAGCTTCCCTCTGAAACAATACGGATTGACGGAGGGCCGTCTAGTGAGGTGGACCAAGGGCTTCAATTGTAGCGGCGTGATCGGCGAGGATGTCGTTGCCCTTCTCGAGGACGCAATTAGCAGAAGAAAAGTAAGTCTGAGATTATCATGAGCAAGTACGGCATATATAAATGCGATATTAGAACAATCTGATATTAGAATAATCAGATATATACATATGTCGAGTTAAATTATTTTTCAACTTAATCCTTTTGTTATTTTATCAATCATAAGAGATGTTTGAAAGTATTAATCTTCATGCTATGCAAAGATGTATTAAATATTAAAAGAGAAAAAAAAACGAGTCTAATATTTTCAATCTCCCACAGGATGTCAAAATTGAAGTATGCGCGATCCTAAATGACACCACCGGCACTCTAATGTCATGTGCTTGGAAGAATCAAAATTGTCGAATCGGTTTAATCGTCGGTACGTACATTAATTTTTCAACTAATTGTAAGAAGAGTTTTGTATAATACATTATTTACATAGCAATATAAATATCAATTAATTTAAGTATAATTTGTATTCGAAATAAGTTTGCATTAAGCTTAAATGGTAGATCATGTAATAAAGTAATAACATTGATGAATAAAATTATGTTCTCAATAGATATAAATTTTATTATATAGTTTTATCCTCAAATAAATTTATTTATATCTCTGTAAGTTTGAAATACATTAAATATTGCAATTACAGGTACTGGAACCAACGCCTGCTACGTCGAGAAAACAAAGAACGCACAGTGCGCGATTCCAGGCAACTATTCCGCGCACAAGCCCGAAATGATCATCAACACGGAATGGGGCGCATTTGGCGAGATGGGCGTGCTAGATTTTGTGTTAACTGAATTCGATCGTGCCATGGATGAAAATTCTCTCAATCCTAACAAGCAGCTGTTCGAGAAAATGATCTCGGGAATGTACATGGGTGAACTGACGAGGCTAGTCCTCGAGAAGCTGGTGAACATGGGCCTTCTCTTCGGCGGCAAATGGCCCACCGATCTCAGAAAACGCGGCAAGTTCTTCACGAAATACGTCTCCGAGATCGAAAGGTAGGTATCAAACAAAATTGATCTTAATTGCGTGCAGTTAAAAATTTCTCCAGATTCGTCGTAAAAGTTGGATTACATGAATTCGCAATCTTTAATCGTCTTTGATCGTCTTTTTATCTAACAAAATTAATCACTGAAAACATTACATCGATGATTAAGGACGATAAAACATCGACCAAAATTATTTCACCCCATGAAATTAACTAAGGATTAAGCTATGGAAAATTCAGGAGTTAATTGAAAATATATCTGCGTGTTTCAGTGATCCTAAGGGTAGGTACATGAATTGCCGGGAAGTACTAGCTGAGCTAGGGCTGCGGAGTGTGAGCGATCAGGATTGCGAGAATGTGAGATATGTGTGCTCGGTGGTGTCGAGGAGAGCGGCGCATCTGGTGAGCGCGGGAATAGCGGCGTTACTGAACAAAATGGGCCAGAACAATGTCACGGTGGGCATCGACGGGTCGGTGTACCGATTCCACCCGCACTTCCACGATCTTATGACGGCGAAGATCAGCGAACTCCAAAAATACAAGGTGAGACTGACTGAAAGTGAAGAACATTACGAACTAGGGCTCTTGGTCTTACACGCTCGCGTTTCAAAGTGTAAGATTGGAGTAAAATTGAAACGTAAGCTTTTTGTTTAGAAACAAATCAAGAGTGCAATGAATGGAAATTACATTTATTTAAAAAAACAAATTCTTTCGGATGAGTGAAAAAAAACCGCTATGTATTATAACGAACAAAATAAAGTTTTTCCCAGTAATTTAATCAATTTCTTTGTTGCAGTTCAATTTGATGCTCTCGGACGACGGTAGCGGTCGCGGCGCCGCCCTGGTTGCCGCGGTAGCGTCGCAGAGGCGGTGAAGACGCGGTTGTCGGTAGCGAGTTAGCTGCAATTCAATTATATGTAATATAAAATCGAGCGAGACGGTATGAGAGAGCTGATCAGAGTGAATGATGAACGAGTGAAAACGATCGAGTATGGGAAAGAAATTTTGGATCTTTTTTCCTTTCGTTCGTTTCAGCTGCACTCAATCTTCTTCCTTCTTTTAAAAATATTTTAGATCTTTTTTTTTTTAAGAATATTTTAGATCATTTTTGTAAGGTTTCTTCAAAGATTAGATAGTTTGTTAGGAAAAGAGTCGTAGAGTGTATTCAAGTGTATTCAAGTATCGAAAACGAGATTGTGAGTTTGTTTTTGATTAAAAAAAAAAGAAAAAAAAGATTTTAAAGCAACATTGGCATACGTATTATTTTGCCTTATTTTGAAGATTATAAGAAGGTGTAAGAGAGTGCAGTTTAAAAGAAATGAAACGGAATCCAAAAAAATTGCGCAATGAATACTTCAATCTTGTATATAGAGCACAAAAACAATAACTTAGTCGATTAGAAGACGGTGAACTACTTAGTTAATGTTATTGCCAGAAAACCAAGGATGTAGACGTCCTTCCTGCGGCGATCCAGTACGACGATCGCTAATTAGCGTGATTCGTTAATGATTCGCATATCCACTCGTTAGCGTAAACGGTTAATCATCTCGCGATTCTGCGAGGAAAAATTAGTGAGAAAGCGTTAAATAGATTTGAGTAAAATAAAAATAAAAAAATTGCCGAACATAGTAAACCGGCAACAAGAAATATCGAGTGGCCGTGTCAATTGTTGATTGTTAATAAAAATATTGATGAGTGTAAACAAATTAAATCGAGGATAAATAGATCATAGCGATTGTCAGAAGCAAGAATCGATTCGAGAATAAACAAAGTTTTTCATCGATATTCAAATATAGTTTTTTTAGTTAATCCTTTCATTTTATTATATATGTATATGTCTCCAAATCATTAAATATCATTTTTGCTTTAAATTTTCCAATTTAAAAACAATTTTTTCTCAAGGAAAATATTAAGCTGCCTTTCTAGTCATTGATTAAAGATATTTATGAAAAATTAAATTTCAAGGAATTAAACTAAATGGATCACACATCATATTTTTCAATTAATTTTAAATAAATTTAAATAGAATTTTATCTTAAAGTTTAGCTGTAACGGTACACAAAATTAAAAAATTCCAATTGAAAAATTCGAAATTGTCATTAAAACTTTTCTTTTTTTAAATAAAAATTGAATTTATTCAATCTCATATTAGCTGTCTTTTAATTATGCCTTGTATATAATTATATTACTAAGAATTAAATTATTAGATATCTCGATTGTATGCAAGATAAAGCATTCGAGGAATCTTGTCGGCTATTAATCGAGTGTTGTTTCCTTATCATTATTGCGATAAGGCCTAATGAGATAAATGATAAGGCTCGCGGGATTGCATTGGTTTTTTAGTGCGCTTGTTTTCATCGACACCGCGTACATTTCGGAATATTCTGAAAAAGTTGCTAATATTATCATAATTCTCCTTAGAAATTTCGCGAGTTTCTTTTCGTCGCCATGCTGCGACGATTGCGAGCACTCAAATCGGTGAGTACTCATACTACTCATATCTGGAATATAATTAACGTCAAAATTTAACGAAGCTTGAAACGAATTAAAGTGCGAATAATTTCCTTATTTTTAATATTTCAATGTTGTATTCTCGGTTTTAATAAAGATAAAATTGTATCTATCAATGAATTTGCAAGCAATATTACTACAAGCAAAAAAAGTTACTATATTTATTCGTAATTTATTCGTTTTATTTAAAAAGAAAGTTTTTAGAGAGAACATTTGAAAAATATTTTCTTTTTCTGAAAAAAAAAAAAAAAAATGGAATTTTGATAGGAAATCGAATGTGTAAAATGTGTACAACGATATTTTGAGAGAAATATTTTTCCTTACTAATATGTCAGTGGAAATTATTTATAAAAAAAATGAGAAAGTGGAAGAGAGAGAGGGGGGGGAGGAAGCGAGCGATAGCGTGCGAGAGTAAGTTCATCATCGCTCTCGAAGCGATAACTTTTTTACAACTAGAGCATTATTAATGTTGTTATGTATACGTTGCTGTTGAGAATAAATGATCGATACGAATAGACACCTCCTGTAATTACTATTTAATTATTGCGTATATAAGTTGTATAAATTTCGAAAAAAATTATAATTGCATAAACGCGGAGATACCTTCTCTTAAACATTGCAAAAAGATTTCGATCGCGCCGAATGAAAAAAACGTAAGCCCACCGGACACGCCATTAACGCGTTCAATCGTACCGTCGCGATCCCCCGCGCGTGTCCATCTGTTTACGACGCCGGGTATACGTGTACTGCTGTACTCCTCGCACAGGCGCGCACCGCGCGCACGTGATCCCGGTGTCGCCACCTGGTGCACCTTCGATCGTCCCGCATCGTGGGGGCCAGGCCCGCCAGTGGGGGCCGCCGTGGGGAGACACGTCAAAGCCGCGGAGAGCCGCCGTCGGGAAAAATCTGTTTCGCCGCACGATGAGGCGCGACTGGACGGTTACGCTACGCGGGAACGTCTCGCGAGTCGTCCGCGGATGAGAGCAAGGGTTGTGCGCGAGTGTATCTCTGCGAGCGAGTTAACATGATCAGCGGCATTCAGATCGCCCTGAAGAATGCCATTGACGTGGTGAGTGATCAGTCGGTGGCAGCGGCGACGGCGGCGACGGCGACGGCGGCGACGACGACGACGACGGACGACGACGATGACGATGACGACAACGGCGATAGCGTCTGCTGCGAATCGCGCAGTTGCGCTCCGTCCTTGCATACCGCGATAACAAATATGTTAATTAATTTCCTACTCGCAACGAAAGGGAAACCTATAATGCGCCTACGGCGGAGTGTCTGTCGAGTCTGACACGTCTCGCTCGGGTTCAATTTTGCAATTATTTTGGCGAAAACCGATCGAACGCAATGTACCAACGGAAAAGCGTGTTTATGAACAGACTATTTGTATCGTAGTTTTTCTACTGCTCTCTAAAAGTTACTGTCAAGGTAGCATATGCCGACTGACAGTTTAGTCTATAGACAGAATTTATTAAAATTCGTAACGTAGAGCTTGCACAATCAAATAAATATTTTTTTCTCCTTTACATTTTATTTCCGTGAATGTTTCGTAGTTGTAGATGCTTTTAAAATTGTTTTCAGTTGAATTATTCTTTGATTGACACTTTTTTCAACTCGGTTCTTTTTCCATCAGTGACCCGTGGCACTGTGTTTTTGCACGATAAAAATGAAAGCGAATATATAAAAATAAATGTATGAAAAAAGTATATCAAAAAATAAGTCAATAGAATAATGTTTCCGGAATTCTTTTTTTCGCTTAAACGAAACAAGAACATTCGCGTCGAGCTGGGCCACGTAAATCGACAATTCGGATTATCGATAACGTTTTTATCATACACGTAATTCAACTTAAAAATGCTTTTGTTTGACATGTGGCTATACTCTGTTCCGTTCTTTTGTGCGATAAAAAATACGATTAAAATTAAAAATTCTTTCGGCGTCAAATCGATCTCACGTGGGTAGAAATCAATTTCGTAATCATGCTCTATATTCGGTTGACCTTCCTTTTAATGCGCGTTTGATTTAGGAATATCAATAATTTCTGACTGCATGCAATACCCTTGACAATGCCTAATTGTTGCCTTAACACATAATTTATCGTCGATATAATATATTGTTCGTGACTTTAAACTAAATTGTACTATTGTTACTAATTGTTAAACTATTATACGAATCTCAAAATCGTTTCCCAAAATTTCTCCTCGATACCCTTTAACTTTTCTCGTAAATCTCAAATTACTCTCAAGAATCAATTACGTTTCGCCATCTCGATTCTAAATTGTCCCTCATATTTCCAGATAGCCCCGCCGGCGACACCATTGCAAGACTTCACCTATCACTGGAAACAATTGATGAACTTTTATGTGAGTCATCTGACCGACTGCAAGGTGCCCGTACAAAACACCAGCATACCCCGGCATCTGGATGTACTGCTGGATATCTTATTGCAAGAGGAGAAGGAAGAAAATGAACCGGGGCCCTGCCTAGAATATCTCTTGCAGCACAAACTCTTGGACCTACTGGCGACCCTGGCCAGCGCGGAGACGCCGCCTGGCATGCGAACAGTCTGTCTCGCCTTTTTGAGAAAATTTTTGGGCAGGTCGAAATACCCATTACTGCATCACGCGTCGATCTATGCGCCGATACAACGACTAGTGGCACTCTGCAATGGCAATCCACCGTCGCCAATCGAGGCTGAAGAGGTAGGATTAACGGTGTAAAAAGATTCACTGCGATTTATTGGAAAATTTTCCTAAAATTTACCTCAAAATTCGTCAACAAACAAAAGAATCTACGATTTCAAGGAATCACAATTAACTTGCAGAAATTCCCTTTCCCTATATAATTAATAATTTTACACGCATGTAAAAGCATTTCAATCAATTGCAAAACTTCACGAAAGACTGACTTACTTTAATTTTAATTAAATTTTTAATTGTTTTAATTAAAACAATTTCTAGAAAAACAAAAATAGAAAATTATTTTTCTTTCCACAAAATAATTAAAAAAATATACTTTATAGATCTCATTCCATCTCATTCTTTGTAGATTTACAGAACTACACAACTTTCCTATTTATTTCCTAATTTTTCATTCGGTTCGTGTATCGTTTCCAAACGACATCTAGAGTCTAGACCGGCGATCTATATACACGCTGCGCTCGACGTATTTACAACCGATTTGAAAAATTTATACATCTACTTACATAACCTGCCGCAAGCAGCTCACTGGATTCCGTTCCGGCCTTGTTGCCTTGGCACTGGAGATTCTTATCGTCTGTCGCAGTAAAATTATCCTTGTCGGTCCGTAAAATCGAGAGATGCTCTCCGGTCAGCTGTAAAACAACAAAGCACACACACACTTTTCAGAATCGTTTTACACTCGCGACACACTCGCGAACACAAATATTCACAGCACCTCCAAGATTTTCGTTACGCGGGCTACACCGGGCGTTCAACGGACACGAAACGAGACTTCTGAAAATCAGAGAATCTCCAGAGACAACTACCTCTCTTCAATCGCGTGCTCGACTACGTGCCGGTCGGTGAATTTGCAGCCCGGCGATTCCGAAACGTTTCGTCACAGTGTGCGTATATGCCGTCGAGTACACGACTTGTCGCGATTTCCCGATAACGCGACAGAGACGTGGAAGTGACCACTGACCGGAGTGACCCCCAGAATCCGATCGTCGAGTCGGATCGTTTGTCGATCTCTCGTCCACCACGACCACGTCCGCGAGAGAGATCGCGAATCGCCGGCACGTCCGCCGGCGCGAAACGATACACCTCTTCCACTTCGAATGTACCTTCGGCCAGTCCCGCGCCTCCTCGGCCGCGCTCGGTTTCGCGCACCGATCAACGCGCGATTTCAAAATGCCGAGGATGCACCTTCGTTTTGATCGTTTATTCGTTTACACTTCTACGGCCGTAGGCGACTCGGTGATATTTTCCGATTGCAGTTTCAGTTTATATATACTCTCTTCGAACCCGTCACGAGTCGTTAGACGCGCGCACCTGCTTCAATCGACGCGAAACGATGAAATGCACTCCGCGAATGCAATTTTCCGCCGATTTCTTTCCCTCCGTTTCGCCGTTCGTTCAGACGCCATGGCATCTCGCGATCATCCCGAAATGTTTCGGCACACTTCTGCAGCTACACGTAGTCGTTATTCGCGCTCCTCGACAGCGTCCTACGACAGGTGCCTCGACGACGACACAATCTCGAACGAGGGTTCGACGAACATCCCCGCGACTCGCACGGCAAGGAAAAAATCGCGAATTACAGGACGCTATACGCGCACGAGCGTCGACCGACGCGAGACATTGCGCTTCGAATGGGCCCTCGGTTAATTTCGCTTGACCTCGGCCGCGCTCGGTATCACGCCACCGATCGTGTTTAAGCGCGATTTCAAGACATCCTTACTCATACACAAGAAATTTTCGCTGTTGCAGCAAAATCATCCCTGCTGCATATCCTACGTGAAAACGCCCAAGTTTCACCTGTCACAACTCAATTTTGCAACAGCGAAGCTTGCTTTGTTCGTAAAAAGCTTTGCCGATAACATTATAAATAAATAAATCGAAAAAGTTTTGAATTTCTAAGACGAGTGTTAAAAGCGCAAATTTCATAAGTCTGATCTTTTGGGAAAGAAAAAAGATTTTCATTATCATTTCCCTTCCTTTTCCCCTCGTAAATCTTTTCTGCTCTTTGCTTGTAAAAAAAATATAAATTTTTTGCTAAAGAAAAATATAAAAAAATCTATTCTTAAAACACTATGCCATGACAGCAAAATTATTGCTGTCTTATTAAACAGATAAAAATTTATTATTAAAACGAAAGAATTTGTAGATTTGTAGATTTAGCGAAACTAATTTTCGCTTTCAGAAGTGATTGATGAGGCGTCTATCAATTTATGTATTGATATCTATCGAAATCGCATATCAATAAATTTCAAATATTTTTTAACTTTTGGAAGGATTAATATAAAAATACTTTTCAAACATGAAAATATCGAAGCTATTTACACTGCTCTATTAAATTGCAAATATTAATATCTGCTGAAAAAATATCTTTTCCGCTTGTAGGTACAGTTTCTGTTAACAATCTGCTTCCTGGTATGCAAATATCCTCACGTGACCAACATTATCAATGATGCGCCAGTTGTGGAGGCAGTCAACAATCCTGCCAAGAAAGATAACGAGAGGACAGAGATCCAAAAGGTGACGTATGTCCCGACTAGGAAAAGAAACAATTCCAACCCTTTGTTCGAGCCCTTGGATACCCAAGCAGTCACGTTAATCAATCCAAACCTATTCGACAAGGAACGCCGGAGATTACCGCGTTCGAATCACGTTTTCAAGACGACCGCGTCAGATCCTGGACACCTGTCCAGGAGATCGAACGAGTCCGTGTCCTCGAGGGAGGAGAGCGTGTCATCGAGTCCTCTGGCCCAAAAGTCCGTTTGCGACTCGCCCTCGTTGGACACGAAGGGCGGCGAGCAGTGGGAGGAGAAGGACAGGGGCGACTCCTCGAGGAATAAGATCGACGAGCATTTGCAAAACCTGCGAGACTTGCGTTTAGATACCGATTGCAATGTCTACGAGGACGCGAGTTACGTGGCGGGTGATGATCAGAGTTTAAAATCGCCGAAGATGCCGGGGAAGTCCAAGTGTCTCCTGTTGGACGCCCTGATGAGCTACTTAAATAGCGCGGTAAAGAACGTTTTTTTTTGTGTTAATTATAATTATGATATGTACAATCAATTACTTTCTCTTTGCTTCCTCGTTTCCAGGACAACACCGTGAGAATACGAGCGTGCGAGGGAATAATGGTCCTGGCGTCCCTGGACGATCCTTCGTTCGCGCAAACGGTGACCAGGAGTCAGTTGCCATCGATAATCTCGACGCGCCTGGAGCACTTGTTCAATGCCATTCCGGCGCACGTGGACCACTTGGATATCTACAACGTGGACGTCACGTGGGGCCTGGACTCGCCGCTGTGGACCCAGGAAAAGAAATTCCCCGGTTGCCGGCAAGTCGCGGCGTTCTTCATGTGGTACGACTACTGCGACCAGTTGATCAGGGAAGCCCATCTGGAGCTCGCCGAGACGTTGGCGAGGACCATTCGAGTGATGTTCTTCGAGAGGATAGTGACGCCCGCCCTGGCCGATCATCACGTCGTACTTATCACAGCCCTTGTCGCCAAGTGCTTGAAGGAGACTACATCCTCCATATTGTGCACAGGTGCGGTATTATCTTAAAAAACCATCTCACGAATAAAATTATAAAATATTTGGGAAATCTTTCTACGAGTTTCAATATATCCATCTAAGAGCAATTTACAACATAGCTCGAATCTAACTATTCTTTAATTTAAAAAATTTTATTTCGAGTTTTTAAGTCATTATTCTCCACCGAAATTTTCAAAAATATATCAATTGATTTACTATCTAAGTTTATCTTAAAACCCTCTCACGAATAAAATAATAAAATATTTGGAAAATCTTTCTACAAGATTCAATATATCCATCTAAGAGCAATTTACAACATAGCTCGAATCTAACTATTCTTTAATTTAAAAAATTTTATTTCGAGTTTTTAAGTCATTATTCTCCACCGAAATTTTCAAAAATATATCAATTGATTTACCATCTAAGTTTATCTTAAAACCCTCTCACGAATAAAATAATAAAATATTTGGAAAATTTGTCTACAAGATTCAATATATTTATCCAAGAGCAGTTTACAACTTGAATTATTGAATTATTCTGTAATTTAAAAAATTTTATATATTTTGAGAGTTTTAAAATCACTATTCTCCACTGAAATTTTCGAAAATATATATTATTAGTTTATCATATATATCTGAAGCGTCGATGATTTTTCAGAGGTGAGTTACTGGTTGGTCGGCCAAGACAGAGATCCGGAAATGCCAAACGTGTGGACGTCGCCGGTATTGCACAGGCTGATAGAGAACTGCTTCACGGACAGTAACGATCTCACGATAGAAACGTTGAAATTATTCGAGGAGGCCATAGACAAAAGAAACGAGCACATATTACACTGTCTCTTACTGATCTATCTGTCCACGCGTGCATATTATGATAACACCGCTGCTGATAGCGCTATCGCCTCGTGGAGCGACGAGGAGGACGAGAGAGAGAAGGACAAGAGAGGAACTCTGGATCTTTCCTATGAACAAAATCACAGCCGTACTTTGGCGCCGAGTAATATCCACCGAGTTATCAATTGGTAAGATATATAGTTAAAATTAAAAATGTATTAATAAAGATAATTTTTTTTTTTTTAACAAATAGAAGTGCGTTAATTGCTCAAATCTAAATAAAAAAAAAGAAGAAAGATTGATGAAGAGAGAGAGAGAGAGCACCGCACTTCAATATACAAGGAATTAAATAAAGGAATTAAAAAAACGAGAACTAATAATGCGAAAATGACACAAATGTTACCACGAGACGATGTCTTCATTTTCAGCTTCCTGTCGTTGATGCCACGCTACTTGCAAACAGATCCGGATGTCAATAACTACGAGAAGTACATGCCAGCTTGGGAGCAGCAGTACACCTCGGTGCTTTCCGACTGCGCTCTGATGGCGTGGCCGTTGGAGGCGGTAATGGTAGACGATTCCGGAAGTTCGGACTCGCGACCGGAGGCCGATCACTGCTCGGGTCGATTCTACATGGGACCATTCCTGAGCATGCTCTTCGACAAAATTGGCAATATGCCGAGGCAGACGTACGAGATTAATTTAGAAATCACGGGGTTGATCTCCAGATTGGCGCTACTCCCGCACCCGTACCTGCACGAGTTTCTGCTGAATCCTCTGCTACCTCTGATACCCGGCACGAAGAGTCTGTTCTTGTGCTTGCAAAAGATTGTCAAGCAGCTTGTTAGCGAAATACCAAAGACACCGGAAAATAAGATAATGCTGGCGGAGACGAGGCAGAGATTGCTGAGCAACTGTTCTCAAGAAGAGTGAGTGGAATTAATATCTGATTCGTTTTGTCACACATAGATTAAGATCTATTTTTTTTATTTTCTTACATTAAGATCAAACGATAAGATTTTACTATCTGGTTTACATCCCTAAAACTTAATGTCCAAAAATGTTATTTTTTAAGCAATTTACACAATTGAATATCTTTTATAATATATTAACTGTTTTTTCACATTTTGTTATTTTTTTTTATTTTCTTACATTAAAACTAAACGATAAGATTTTACTGGTTTACATCCATAAAACAACCAAAAATATTATTTTTTAAACAGTTTACACAATTGAATATCTTTTATATTAACTGTTTTTTCATGCTTTGCTATTTGTATTTTAGAGACAAGGAAAACATTCTATACGAAAGCGCTGTAGTGACGGAGGAATTTTGCAAGGATCTCGCAGCCATAGCATATGTCAAGTATCATCATTCTGTTTAACAAATTTCTACGTGTGAGATATTTGTTGAATAGAATGGCAATATTTGAATAATTCATAGATATTAATATATCAAAATCATATATATATATATATACTTCTTTAAGTAGCAAATACTTTTTGTGATGACTTTGTAAGATACATAAATCTATAGAGTTAAGTATGACACAAGATACATTTAATTAAACTATTATTATCAAGAATCACACTCTACAACTATTTTATCCTAACCCTCATAAACAAAGTTTTGAAATATCTACATATAACGTTATTTAAGTGACATATATATGCTTTAGTAAGAAATACAAAATGTCTATTAAATTAACAAGGACACTATTTTCTTGCATTTTACCTTAAGACCTTTTAAATTTAAAAAACTATAATTAATATGAGGAATAATCTTTGGATCGTACCTTTCTCTTCGTTCTCCAAGGACCAAGGTATAAACATAACCTATTTCACAAACATAGAAGGTGCAGCTAAAACAAGCGGGCCTTAGGACTGTTCGGACTGCTCATTTTTATTAACATTTTCGGTACTTTCTTGTTGTCCTTTTTCCTATTTTTCTTTCAATATATCTGAATATATGTACTTATTTCATTTTAAGTGCACGAAGTGCAATATAGTACAGCTTAAAGCATATGCATGACCATATGATTGCGACACATGTATAATGTATTCGACAGCTGCACTTTTCGTCTTTCCTCCTTTTCTCTCCTAATGCTTAATTATATAATTATCTCACTTTGAGAGCAAACAGTGCGACGTGCAGATGCTGCCAACGAACAATAATGAACGTTGGATGCCGCTGACGAAGAATAACACAGCGTACATAACCTCATGTGACGGCAAGTGTCCACTTGCTGCCGGTCAGCATACATCGGCGTCGAAATACTCGATGGAAACCTGGACCGGTTTCTACCCCAGATCCATTATCGACAGCATTATCTTCCATTTCACTGGTGATACGCGCAAGGATACCTCGGTGATCAAGGTAAACAGCGAGAATTTATCGGCACATGGCGAGTTGTATTTCCTGTGCAATTTCAAAGCATGGAGAGGTCTTTTGACTTGCTCCAGGAGTTGCACAAGCATTCTGCAACATCTCGCACACGCACATGGCGCAACGAGAGACGATGCAGACGCGGATGTGGATGAAGAGGTGAATAAATATTGTCAATGTCGTTTGTTTACATTAGAATTAGCCCTTTATAGATTTTACGCTGGTATACATACTTTTTCTGCACTTAACGTAAAAATATAGTATGTTATTGCATATTAAATGTTGAATTTTGAAAATCTATCTTTCACAAAACTATTATAAATCAACGTCTGATAATCAATTATGTCATATTTAAAATTTGCAAAATTTCTAAATCTCAGCAGATCTTCAAGCAGCTAATATTGAAGAGCAACAGCTGGCCAATAAGGATACAAAGATGTATGTTGCAAAAAGAAAGGATCTGCTTGTTCCTAAATCGAGAAGATATCGTTGCAAACAGCATAAGGATGGCTGTCGAGTGTGGGATGGCATTTGGGAAGGCTGAGTCGACCGGTAAAGCATTTACATTGAAGTATCAGCCCGATGAACAGTCGGATCTTACTACTCAGAGGTTGCGTCTAATGACAAACGTTGCTGCAAAGGCGTTGAGTCTACACGGACACGCGTTATCAACTGGGGAAAATTGCGTTGGTAAATATATGTTCACCAGCAAGTCTGAGGGATCAGTTGATGAAGGATATGAGAAGTATGTCTGCGGCGTTGTGAAGAATTCCCAATCGAATTCAAAAGAGATATCTCTTACGTGGGAGCAATATATAAAGTACAAAATGAATCAACTGGCCGAATTGAATGAACACAAATATATTGAAGATGAGAAGAGCAATGCGAAGGATATCTTCCTGCGCAACTTAGCCAATGCCATTGCCATTTTCGAATTAATGGCTGCGAAGCCAAGTCGATCAGTTATTATTGAGAATAATAACTTTGAAGACGACAGAAGTGTTACAAATACCAGAGGTACATTTTACATCAGTAAATTATTGACCGTTAATAAATTAAATTATTTTCTGATGACACTTATATTTGCATTATTATTTTATAAAATATAATTAATTTGATTAAAAATGATTTTTCAAATTATTCAAAAAATGTTTAATCTTAGCGTTAATTTTATTTGATGCTCGTTAATTTTATGCTCGACACATACAAAAAATGAGAAATTACTTCTTCATCAAGTAATATATTGTAATTATTGTAGGTGCATCATTTGTGTTGTACAACACTGCCAGGATAGCGACAATTATAACAAAACATAATGAGAAGGTATCGCGAGGAGATTATCCTAGTTTGCCAGATATAAAAAATGTAGATTTCTCGCAGTTGCAAGAAGAAGTAAGTACAATTTTTCCTTGTTTTAACAGGTTAAATTAGAGTTACGTTACTCTACTTTCACAATTTTGCAATTTTCTAGTTTTAATTCGACATATTCATACATTTAAAAAACTTTAGTTGTAAAATTGATCAATTATCCGAATTTTGACATTGTTTTAAAGAGAAATTGATTTGTTCACAGGAAGAATGGGAGCTTATATATAATTTTATCTTCGGATATCCACAAATGATAAATGATTTCCTGAAGTGTGAGCCATGTTTTCATATTTATCCACAAGTCGTATGCCTATTCTTATCACGGCTATGCCAAAGATTTAGTGTCTACTATCGAAAAGTCAGAATTTTAACGGTGAGAAAAAACTTCATTCTTGTACTTTATGTATTTTTGCATCAAATTGTAATTTTACAAATTTCAGGAAGGAGGTGATCATTTGATTCCCAAGATGGTAGCTAGATTGTACATGTTACGTGCGTTGTATGTCGTCTTTGAGAACGCTCTGGACATTTTGGGCATCAAGCCAATACCGCGAATGTGAAATGCTCTCGTGAGAAAAAAATTCTATTTTATATTTTGCTTAATAAATAAAATTGTTATATACATTTCTGCGTTTAAAACTGTAAAATCCTTTAAGTCTGGAAATATTTTCTCGAATCGAATAGAGTATTTTATTTATTTTTTAATCTTATGAAATTTTCACACGTATACATTCGCATATACTCATTCGTAGGTATTTCAATATTCCCTGTATCAGCGCGCTGAAAGAAACGGAGCGGTCGGGCGCACTCGGCCACGCTCGGCTCCGTTCAGCTGCACTCGCGGGGCGCTCGGCCCACTGGACGACGCGCGGTGGCGACGACGACGACGACGACGACAGCGGCGACGCTGGGCGGCCAGCTGTTTGTTTTGTTTTCGGGCATGAGATTCACGTGACAGCCGGCGGGTGTTGGTGGCGGCACGCGACCATCGCAGCGACGCTTGTTACGGGGGCGGCGATTGGCCGGACGCGTCAGCAAGCGCGCCGCGGCGGCCAATCGGTGCGGCCGTAAGCGGCGCGCCGCCGCCGTCGAGCGGAGCGCTGCTGCCGCCGAGGTGAGCGTTTGACATCGATAAATGCGTGCGAGTGCTCGCGAAGCGCGGAGGTGCCAAGCTGTCGCTCGCCCGCTCGCTCGGTCGTTCGTGCGTTCGTTTATACGTTCGTCCGCGTATCGTCCGCGAATCGTCGTCGTCGTTACTGTTGCCGTTTGAACCGTCGCGTCACTCGGGCCGCCCGTTTTCTTCGTTCGCCGTGGCCGCTCGCTCGTTCTCCATTCGCGTTCGGTATTGTTCGTTGTCCGATCAGCCCGCTCCCACCCCACCGCCGCCGCCACCTCCGCCGCCGCCGCCGCCGCTGTGCGCCCCTCCGCCCCTGTGGGAAACCTGTGTGAGAGAGAGAGAGAAAGAAAGGGAGAGCTAGTAGTGCTGGGATAGTGCTGATCGTCCGACAACGTAGTGAAGCAGGCACCGTTGTTAGTCTCTCCTTATTTTTCTCCTAATTTACCTTCTTCTCGCTTACCTATCTACGGCGCACTACTCCTTTATCGCCGCGACCCGTGCCAAATGTCATCGGGCGGATGTTAAGCGTATATATACGGGCGTATATACATACGTGTATACGTACGTAAATATACACAGGGGCGTGAATGTATACACGCGTACGTACATTCGTTGTGTGCATGTGTGTCCGTGCGTGCTCGCGCGCGCGCCCGCTCGCGCGTGCCTGAAGAGAGACTGAGAGAGACGTACGCATACGCGGAGCGCTCCGTAGCTGTGTATACGCGCGACGAGGGGACGACGGGATTCTCAGCTGGCGCATTCTAGTGGACGTTCGGGTAGAAAGTGTTGTTGCGCGAAGGCGGCTCGCCTGGCCCCTTTGTTTGTGAGTTATCAGCTGGCGCGTTGCCTCGCCAAGCCTCGCGTAAACGATAGCGCGGGGGCCTGGGTCCGCGCGGCGGACAACAGCCGCCGGGGCCCCCGGACGAGCCCCGAAATCGAAAGGGAGCCCCCTCCCGCCCCGTCACCCGCGCGCGACTCCGGCGCGAGAAAACACGTCTTATATTCGGAATCCGCCTGGTGCATCCGTGGACGGATCCCCGCTTCCCCTTGTCCTCGTCGTATTTAATCGCGATGACAGATGGCTTTTCGGTTAACTTCAAGCGCGATTTTTATTCAGAGACGGAGAGACCTTGCTTTCCCCAGGCTGTCGCGAGATCACCCGATACACGCGGGGTATCCGGCCTGTTATTTTCGCGCTGAGGGGAAATCCGATTTTGAATTTATCGAGGAACGCGCCGTCAAAAAGAAGAAAAAAAAAAAATTCGCCGCGGCGTAGGCGGCACATCCGGCGCGACGTGCGCCGGATATTGTTAAAACTGCTTTTAACGTTCGATCGGCTCTGGCGCGCGACGCGAAGTTCGCCGAATTTCGGACAAGTCCATATGATGGCTTTAGAAAATAGCCGTTTTCGACGCTAATGCCTTACCATTAAGAATTTGAAGGAAACGGAAAAGACATCTGTGCGTATATGTGTATTGTGTGCTGCATTTATCGTGCAAAAATTTATCTCGACAAGGATGGACTTAACCTCTAATTCTTTATCGTAATCGCTTTGTACTAACCGCCTTATCTCTAATCACGCATTCTTCATTTATCATATCATAACCCATTCCCTTTTTGTCTTGATTTTTTTTTTAGGTCTGATTTATAATCGCATTTTTATGCTTTTCTTCCTCTTGTTCTCCTCTCAAATAATAAATGCGCACTCATTTCATTTTTAATATAGAGAAACTGCAAAGCTGGGATGAGCTGAGCTTCTTTTGTAAATAAATTTTTTTTATGTATTTTGTTTTGTATTTAGTTCTTTACACTTCTCTGGACTGACAAATCTGTCTTTAATCCTTGAATCGAAAACATTTTTATTTATTTTTAAGTTTAGTAATTATATTTTCTTAAATTTTTAGGGGCATGCTTTTGAAATATTCTATGTGTAAACGTGAAAGTGGTTATTTAATTTTTGCGTTTTTTTAAATAAACATTTTTTTTTACATAATTTAATGCTATAATGAATTGTTGCAATGAATCTCACAAAGATGGATATTTCGGATTTATCTTTAAACTTATTACACGTTTCGTTTTTGACAACAGAAAGTTCAATTTTTCCAAATATTAAACTGTGTATTTAATTTCGAGCTGCGACGCACGCATGCACAGACAGTGAAATGAATAATTTCGTGTGTTCTCGTTTCTTAACACAAAATTATACGTGAATATCCTTTCCATTAATCTCCACCGAAAAAAAAAAAAGCGTAAGCACGCGACAAAGGAATTAAATTCCCGTCTAACTCATAAGTAATCTCACTCCGAGGCGCATAATAAATTACGCTTTATCGCTTTTTCTATATTTATCCATCTCTGTCTCTTTCGCGCGCGCGCGCGCGCGCGGTCTGTTTCCGTTTTACTCGCTGTTTATTTTCCTCGCGTTACGCGACCGCGCGTAGGCGTATTCTCTCTTTCATTCCGTCCTCTCCTCTCGCTCTTTCACTCATCGTGCGTTGTTTTGCTCCGGCTCCCCTCCCTCGACTCTCTGTGATGCGTGATGCGCGCGCGCGTGCGTGTCGTGTGCATGTACGCGTGTGTGTATGTGTGCGTGCTGCTCGCGCGATCGGCTTCTCTCGGCGGCGTTTCGAAGCGCAGTTACCTCACGCGGCACTTTCGTATCGGTGGTATATCGCGACGCGGCTGTGCGTATCGTCGCCGTTTTATTTATGTCGGGAATTGTATACACACGAAATCGGCACGGGTCCGCGTACGCGAATGCTCAGCGGACACAACGGTGGTGATAATTGGTTTCCCTTGTGATTCACAGTGCAAGTCGCGGGGTAAATGTGGTGAAACGCAGTGAGAAGAAAGGAGCAGAGAGCGGAGAAGCTAAAGGAGAGGAGCACGGTCGCGGCAACAGGAGGAAGAGGAATCAAAGACGACCGGACAATCGCGATCGCAGCGAGGGCACATCGTGGACAAAAGGAAGGAAAAGAAAAAAAACACAAACAAACACGGTTTCTGACGTTTTGAGAGGACGCTGAAAAAAAAGGAGCATTCGAGTAAAATTCCGCAAGTCCGAGTGCTGGAGGGATCGATCGACAGTGATCAATAGGGAGATATACGTGAATTCGCCGAGAAGGTGGGACATTCGAGAGAGTTTGAAAACATTGAGAGCTCGGACCATCATTTCGTGGGGGCGAATTTTATTGAGACGTGCGAGATCATCCATCGAGGGACGACGATCGACGAGAGGAGAGACTCGGGCTCGGGAATATTCATTGATCGTCGTCGTTAGCCGCGCGACGGACGCGAGGGAGAGACCGTTGGAGAGTCAAACAGGAGCGGCGGTGTAGAAAGAAAAAGTTTCCGCGTATATCCGTCTCTCGGCCTCGGTTGCCGCCGCTGTTGCCGCCGCCGTCGCTGTCGCCGTCCGTGGATTGGTGCACGTTCCTCTCGTTCGGCGTGCGTCGGTGTCGTCATCGTTGGGTTACTTGTGCGCGTCGTGCGCACGGTTACGCGGCCCGAAGGTAACCGACGTGCGGCGGAGTCGCCCGAGGCGGCGCGGCGCGGCGCGGCGGCCGAAGACATCACGATTACGTATCTCGCCGGTACACTACTCCCCCCCGTCCCCTCCTCGTTCTCGCCGCTTGTGCGCCGCCCGTCGTACGCGCACGTGCGCGCGCGCGTCGTGTGTGTGTGGTGCGTTGAGGGTGTGTGCGTCCGTGTGTGCGTCCCCGGCACGTGTGTTGGCGCGGGAGAAGAAGCGTGCGGCAGAAGAAGAGGGAACGAGCGCGAACGGAAGCAGCCAGGATTACTCCAAACCGAGGAAATATGAGCATTGCTGCCCTATTACAAGCCGCCGAGTACATTGAACGAAGGGAAAGAGGTGAGTGAATATCTCGCGCTTCTCATTCCTTCCCCCCCCCCTCTCTCTCCTTTTAATCACGATTTTGCGAAGAACAAAGCTCTTCACAACGTCAGAGAGCAGAGAGAGAAACCCGATGAGTGTAAACATGGAGTATTTAAGAGTCCCAGAAAAATTCCCGATATTATAACTTAATTTTACTGCCACGAACAATCTGGCTAATTTCTTTTAAATCATTAAATATAAAAAAATTAGGAAAACTTGGAGTAGTTCTAATGTTATTGTGTTATACATGTCATTGTGTTCGTTTCTTGTGTTGCATCAATAGTATAACGAAAGAAATTGTTTTTTTTTTTTGCTAATTAAATGACGTGCATCGATGTTTCCTTTAAATTTTCATCGCGCGACAATCAAATCGCCAAATGTTGGTTTATAAATTTTAATATTTTATAAATTGTGAGAGCAGAATTTGAATTTTCCTGGGATCGTGAGATCGATTATATAGCGCGGGTCAAAGAGAAACGAAAAGAATTTAAGTGTAAGATAAGAACGTTAGAAATTAATTAATTCAATTAATTTTAATTATACACAAAAGAAAATTCCTCGTTTTTTTTTTTTACCCACCCTGTAGATTCTCAATACAACGGACGCGTTATTCCCAGCGTGCACGTCTGCTCCCTCGATCGAAATTCAATCGTACGATTTATGAATATCCGATCGTCGGCTATCTTTGTTTTCACGACGGATCGTACGCGCGCCGCGATGATGATCTCATTTTATATCATCCCACTTATAATGCCGCTGCGTCGCACTAGAGCGATGTCCTCGGCCGCGTGCATGCGGCAACGCACGTCGTTTTCAACGACGCACCGCGCCCGCGCGCGCACGCGTGTGTCCGTTCCCTCGTGCGTCGTAGTACCACGCACGTTGGGAGTTTTTCCAATGGAGTCGCCCGTTGCACATGTGGGATCGTAAAGGGCCCCCCCTCGCACAACACACACACGCACACGCAACCACGCAGGACGTGGAAAACGCCGCTTGCCGCGCAGAGCGAGAAGCGACGCGCGGCGGCCAATCAACTTACCGCTTTCCCGTAAAGAGCGAAAGATTGATTTGGCTCCTAGCGTCGCATTTTGTCTCGCGACAAACGCGTATCCTGCGTGTATGTGAGACAGAAAACGCATGAAACCGCACGCGTGTCGAGGCTGCCTAAATATTCACGCATGACCGTTGATTATTCGAGAACGCGCGGTTTCTCGAAGCAGCCGGACGTGACACTTCGCAGTTCGACATAACTGTGTTTGTGTACGGCGCGAGTAAAAATAATAAATCCGTGGTAACAATCAATCAAAATGAATAATGTAACACAGTAAAAATAACACAGTAAGAATAATTCTCGAACAACAGAATAATCGAATAACGGTCACGGACGGGCGCGGACATTCGGGCAGGAAGTATAATATATGCGTCCCGAAGATGCGCGTGCAAATTTATACGTTAAGGTATTCATCATTGCAGTCATGTGCATATGTAGTCTCAATTTTATGAAACACTTGTAAAATAAATGTCATTCGGTAATTAAACACTACTGCGTATCGCGTTAAAGAGCAACGTGGTTCTCTCGGAGACGTACGTTTTGTTTTTTGCAATTTTTCAAGTCATTGTATTGCGGAATGCAGAGAGAATCGTAAAGTTCGCGTAATTACCTCGTGACCGTGTGAAACTGCATTACAGAAATGTACATTCGTACATTTTGCAACAAATACGATCGCGTTATTCGCAGAATTTTTGTTGACATTGAGTCGTTTCACGTACGGTTTTCTACACACATGTGATTTTTGTTGTAAGATTGACATTTTGGCGTATCAACGAAAGTAAATCTGAGAAAGTATGTATCGATCAGAGGTTTGTCTTAATTTAATTGCGACCTCTTTATTTATGGAAATTTATTCTAGGGTCTCTATCTATTTTTATCTGATTTGGAGTGTCTGTCAGTCTTAATTTAATCCCGGGCTCTATTTATACAAATTTATTCCGATGCGTCTATTTCGATTCGTCTCGATGCACTTGCTTATCTCGATTTAATTCGACGTCTATTTTTAGAAACGTAAACGTTATATTTACGTTTCTAATGTTGCGTTTGATAAGAGCTAAACGTGGGCTAATTTAATGGCACGCAATTATTGAATTCACGTAGTCGAAGCTCTTGAGCAAAAAAAAAACCACCAAGCGCGGCGCAATTGTACTTCAATCAAACGTTGACGCTTTTCTTCAAACGATAATAAAATGTGAAACGATCTAAGAAAATAAGACACGTGTCTTACTGTCTGCCGCGTCTGTCATCGCTCGCTCTCTAACGAACCTAACAAGCTTCGAAAACTGACTCTCTTGCGAGTCACGTCGCGCGAGTTTCCTTCTGTATATCTAAATTCTGTATATCTGTAGTGCCTTTGATGATACAAACATATCGTAGAGTCGTGCGAGGATTTGCAATTGAAAACGATAATATGTAATTGGAGGAAATGTCTTATAATTTGAAGACGAATGATTTCTGGTTCGTGTTTATGTTAGCGCTTATTTTGAGCACACGAGATTTAGACTTTAGCACGCTGATATGTAATAATTGTATGTTATAATTTTATTATATAAATATATAATTATGTTCTACTTATTGATTTATCGCTTTCTGATTACAGAAGCTGAACATGGCTATGCTTCAACGATGCCAATACCCGACGACATGCGGACGATTACAAAGAGGCCAAAGACGAAGAAGTCCCAAGGCAGCAGGTTCGTGTCTGTGTAAAATATCTTTTGAGAAACGTAGCACATAAAAATTTACATAAGTCTTTTGAAAGTTAAAGAAAAAAATTTTTTTTCTCAGACTTATATTCCCGAGTTAATACTAATATTTACGTCGTGCGTATTAGCACGAATCTTTTTAAATATACAATTTCTAGACTGACATTAATAGCAATTTCTATTTGATTTTATATTCATTTCAATTTTATATTCGATTTTAAAGAGAGAGGGGAATGCGCGCGCGCTATTCGAATTTCTCAATTTTATATCTGTTGCAAATTCGAAGGATTGCAAATATTTCGCAAACGCTGAAACGTACTTCAATAGAAGCGTCATATTACTTCAACGTGATATATTTGATTATAAAGAGACATTTTATAAAAGCATTCCATAAAATTGCAACTTTCGAAATCCGGCATTTCGAAAGCAATTCGTGATGTGTATCAATCCAAAATATTGTCAATTGGCAGTTTAATTGCTCGTGATTTAGAATCGAATGTGACTATTATTGCTGCACGTGCTACTATAAGTCTGAGATATAATTCCAAATTATTTGTAGCTGAAATATTTGCAATACTTTTAATGCGATAAATCTTCGCGGTTTTACAATTTTATATTTTCAACTTTATATCGTTTTTTATATCGTCAGAAAGGGAAATATTATTGTCGTAGCTTGATTTGCCTTTTTATCGTAAATCTCGTTCTTACAAAATTAATGAGCATTTTCATTTTTTTATTTTCAGAACGACTCATAATGAGTTGGAGAAAAATAGGTGAGTGTTTTATAAATTATAATACAAGTGATTGTTATATTTAAAAATTATTAGTTAATAACAAGCAACATAGCAAAATTATAATTATAACTTATAATTAAATAAATCGAAAAGAGCTATATTTTTAAAAATAAATTACCTTAATAATTTAATAAACCGATTAGTTAGCAATATATTCGTAAAAGTATACCTGCAGAAAGTTTCTTTTTTTAGATAGATTAAATATTCGTCAGAAATAGGCGATATCAAAGACAAAGACTCGTACGCTTTGAACGATAAATTTGCTTTTATACAATAAATTTATGCGTCACAGGTGAATTTATAAATTAAATTTATGAAAATAATTTGCTACACACGTAGATAAGATTAAAATCAGAATTTATCGGGGATATAAATTTTTTTCGAATAAAGATTAAAACCGTTGGAAATAAACTGGGATGAATATATATCAAACATTTAGTATAACATTGTAACCTTTCTGGAATTAATTCTTTCGAAAATAAAAAAGTGGATATACCGGCGACAATACTCTTCGCGTGGGCAGGAAAGACGGAGGCGGAGGGATAATTATGCTGGACGCTTTTAACAGGATAATGTTATAGTTCGAAGAATCAAAAAATATAAAAGGAAAATATAAATATACTTTGCAAATACGCGTTATTGCGTTATGTAACGTAAATACAAATACGGGATGTAACAGCAGCGGGTTTTTTTTACATTGGCCGTTTCTGTGTCACGCCAGCCCTTGTGTAACTTTCTCTCCCCCTCTGATCCCTCTCCCCAACGTGACCACTATTCGCACATAGGCTGCTTGGGTATAAAAAAAATCGATAGTCCGCTTGCGACCATCTCGCTTTCTCTCTTATTCTCTAAAGCACCCCTTCTACTCTCTCTTTTTCTCTTCATGTACTCGCTGACTAGCGAGTTTTAATCTCCTTCCTCCCCCCCTTTTTTCGAAATGCTTATAGTGCGCCAATGTTTTTTCTGAAAGTTTTTGAAATTTTTTTTATGAATAATATATGAATGAATAATATATGAAAATTAAACAAATATAATATGACAATACAATTAATAATATTGTATGTATGTGTAACATGTACAAGGATAGTCTCCTTACTCTTTGATTGCAGCCTATAAAATGCGAACTTTTTGTCAATCCTTGGAGCAATTTTAACTCATTGTTTTATGTTTACTTCTTTGATTACGTATTGCTCATTACATACATTCAATTCTTAATATCTAGTTTTCTTAAAATGATTTGACTCTTCCAAAATGTGAAATGTATACCACTCTGTTCCTGTAATGTCATATTTTATTTTAAAAGAATAGAGTAATGTACGAATTTTCCAATTTTTTTACATTCACGAATTTATCGTGGCGTGAAAGAACATGAAGAGAAATTCCGACATTATTTTATAAAAGAATCGCGTTATGCCAAATACTTGATTATCAAGGGATGTTTATTTTATGAAGCTGTTAGAATTACAATATTTATAAAACAGTTTGTAGATGGCAAGTATTTAAACGAGATTTATATATATTTCCAATTAGTATTTTTTTTTTTACGATTACACACACAGTTTAAAGTTATGTTTTATTTTTGTGTTGTTTTTTTCGGTGAAGGATAAAATTAAATTTTGTCAGCCGGTCTTGTTTACGCGTCTGTATCAATGGCGGTTGGTTGCAAGCGCTGCGTAAGTATGCAGCGCGTGTGACAAGCATACTTACGCAGCATACAAAACGCGGAAGCCAATGGCATACTGTCCTAAATTTGGCGCGCGTCGCGCGGCGGAAATAAATCCATGGCGGCCCAAATCGTACTGCGCATTAAAGATAGCGCGGTTAAGATTATAATACGATCGACGATCGATGATGCACTCGGCGGTGCATTACGATAACAATCTATAATCGAGTTTCTCGTAATGTTTCGCTCTGTTCTTTGATTTCTATTTACAACAGCTTGCATCGGTTTATAAAAATAGCTATCGTTTAAAGTGTTATCACAAGAAAAACAAATGATAAATCGATTAATTAACTGTTAAACACATTGTAAACACGTTTTATTTTTTGAATTGTAAACGAATTTAAATGAGTTCGAACTTTTGACAGAAATTTAAGATAGCATTCTTTTGCCTGTGCCTTGTATTTAATCGCAGTTGTTATCTCCTGTTTACACTGTTACATGTCATTAAGAGTAAGGCCGTTGACCGATTTCGTGAACGAAATTGGAAAAACAGAATATAAAAACATACGTCATACTTGATGCTTTTATGTCCGAAATTAATTTAAATTATTTTGAATTAGTTAACAAATTTGAAGATTTGAAATATTGTTAGAGAATTGAAAAGAAGACGCGAATATAAAGAATTAAAAAGGTTGAAGTAGCTTCGGTTTGAAATTAATAAATTTCACAGATTGATATTTTATTATGTCAGTGTTATCTGTCAGTATTATCGATCCGATTGACAAACAATAGTGATAAGTAATCGCTCGATTGTGTGTTATTTGTTCGAGTCATTATACAGAATAGCGGGGTTTCCCCGAACGCGCGTACAGGGTGAGGACATCAGGTCAGCCGGAAAACGAAAGCTCGACAAATGGCTGCGCCAGCGCGAGTGAAAATGGCGCCGCTCGCGGCGCCTGAGGACGGATCTCTGGCCCATTTGAAATGCATTGAATTTTTAAGTGCCACCCTTTGTGCCGCTGCGAGATAGCCAACTTCCGGTTCGGCTCCCTGGCTAGTCTTCCTACGGCTTTTCATAATTTCGACCTGAACCTTTCCCGACTGGTTATAGCTTAACCCCTTTATGATCTCGGTATGGATTATGAGGAAAAAAGATTTTATATATTTCCTTGTTTTCTAATTAATAAATTTATTCAATAATAAAATAAATTCACCAACAGATATTTTTTAAATTTATTAATTAATATAAACATAATATATAAATAGAAATTCGATAAAATTATGTAAATTAATGAAGTTCTATTTATAGATGGAATGTAATTATCTGTTTTTACTATTAGTGTAATTATTAGTAAATAGTATAAAATATTGAATTACGTAATTAAAATAATTAAAATTTAAAAGACATTTCATTAAGATCATTGAACAGATAGTTCTTACGGCTGTCGTTTTTAAAAGATTTATACACCTTTTGGCGATTATAACATAATATTAATTAAAAATTAATATTTGAATTTAAAAACGGAAACAATCAAAAGTGGTATTATCGTAAATTGTGAGCTTGAATGTATATAAAGTACTCAAATAAAGCTATTATTTTTTACGCGAAGTTATTATAGAAGAAGGGGAAAAATGATGAGAGGATGTTAAATAAAAACCTCGATACGCAAATAGGCGGGTCGATTGTTTAAAGAAATCCTATCGTATCGGATGCTGCTCAAGTTACTGCAGGGCAAAGGTTCAAGTCGATAAACGTTCGTGTTATTTATACGTGCGGGTATCGCCGCCTTTTAAAGAGCTAAAAAATTTAACGTAGTTTTTAACATATGCAAGTTTATTGATTACATTTAATCCTTGAAGCCGTTGCGCCGCGAATAGTAAACGTTCGCATCTTTTGGGGAGGGTAGAAATTATGTTCGGCATCGAGCCACACAATTTGAACGGACGAGCGATACAATGTAAAAGAGTGATGGAAGCGGAATAATTTAATCAGAATTGATACGTGCGCAGACGCGCGGGATATATCCTTCGCGAGATGCACGGAGCAGGATGCGGGTTGACTTCGGGGTCAAGGACGACTCGGCGGAGCGTGCACCCTGTGTGCACCTCCTTTCATTCTCTAACGTTGGTTGGGGAGACCGGGAGAGATGTGCTCGACGTTGTTTAGAGCATCGACCGACCTTGGTTACAGGCGTTATATGCCGAATTGTTGCATATGGGACGTCGGATTCCGATAGTTTCAGTTTTGCGGTACACTCTCGTAAAATAAACATCTCCCGATAATCAAGTATCGCAAGTATTACTTGCTAATTACACACGTTAAAGCGACGTGATTCTTTTATGAAATATATTTTAGTTTTTGTGAAATTTTCGCAACTTTCCAAATTATGGTAAATTTGTAGAAAACGGAGCAGTACTCCATAATTTTTAAATTGACTATGACATTTATATAACGTTCTAAAGTATTTATACGAATTTTACACTACGCGAAAATCGATAAATTAACGCAAGAAATTGGATATTTTTAGCATACGAGCGTAATTTTTCCGTATCATAAAACTGAAGACATGCTTTTGATTTTTATATTTCTTTTTATCTTGCAGATTTTCATCTTTCATTATATATTTTGTCATATATATTGTTTTCTTGAGAATTTGATTTATAATATATTATAAACTTACATAAATTCATGAGTTAGTTAATCGACTGGTATATAGCTGAGGTGACTCGAGGAAAATTGACAGTGTAGAAGTGTTTCACGTGTTACTCGCGTAAGAACGACGCGAGCATTAGGGCCCGCGGACCCTTCGCTTGTCTCGACGTCTCTCCGCAGTTCACCATTGCCACTTTGAAGCTCGTTCACCTTGAGCCCTGAACAGTGATTCTCATTCCTGCTTACTCATTCCTTGTTCATATTACATATGTACACAATAATAATATTGCAATTACTCACGTAAATATTCGGCTAATGCCGCATTATTGGCGGACAGTCGCGTAAACTGAAAATTTGGTAACCTTGATCAGCGATACGAGATGTTAATCGGTGTTCTTAGTGATATTTTCGCGTGTTAAAAAGTAACGGGCACTGGAGACAATAAACACATTATCGTTTACTAGATGCAGCTTATCAAAATGTTTTCTCAAAGCACAGGTGTAACGTCATGTTTAGATTTTTAAATGGGCACTGAGAAATCCAACTTGTCCATCTCCGTTTCTTCTGCTTTCGGTCGAAGTTTAAAGTTTCATACATTTTCGTTTGTTAGTACACACGAGTTGATATATAGATATTAGTTATTTCTGTCGTATTTATAGAGAA